AGTCCTTCCAGGCCAGGCTCTGTGTTTGGAGTTCCTGATTCTCCAGGTCAGGGCCAAGGCCAGTAACTTGTCTGTTTTATAATCACAAGGGTGATTTCGACATGTAGCCAGTTTTGGCATACACTGCTTGGCTTTCTATGAACTCGATGGAGATAAACCTGATATTTGTGTGCATACCTCTTTTCTGCCACTTTACTTTTTGATGATTTTTTTTCTTTAGAATATGGATTAAAAGCAAGGAGTTTGAAATGAAGCAGGCTTGGATTCTAGTGTTAGTGCAGTCCTGGCTAAGTACTCTAGGGCCAGTGCTTAAATTGTTTTCTCCAGATGTAAGTTACCTCATCTTTGAAATGGGTGTGAAAATGCAAGCCATATAGGACATGATGCCTGGCACATAATTGGTATCTGGTTTGACTAATATAAACAATAGTGTCCCAAATCCCAACTGCAGATGCTTGTTTGGTTCTTACATGGTAGGATTGTTTCATGAAGCAATTAGGCTCCAAGGTTTTGGAAGACTTAAAGCCTGTCTTAGGGCTTGTTGTACCATCCTCTGGACATTGGATTTGTCCAGAGTGGAGGTCTACTTGAGCTCTGTGAATTGACTGGGAGGTATAACCTGAGGGGCAACTCTGGCTTTGCATTATTCTGTGGGAATGCTGTGTGCACCATATGCAAACTCCTTCTTGCCATTTTGTCTAAACCTGGCACTGCAGAGGGATGCACATCCCTTTGGTGGGATACAAAGGTTCTTTCCATACTAGCAAGGAGCCAGGCTATCCCTTGATTTCTGTGGCCAGTGAATTTAGGCTGTCAGCCTAAGGAGAGCCTTCCTGGGTAAGGTAAAGACCCAGTATAATGGACTTACCTGAGGAATTAGCTTTAAAAGTCAGAATTCTGAGCCTCATCCTGGAAGCTCCTGGGAGTGATCCCAGGGGGCTGAATGATTTCAGAGACATTTGATAGATAATCATGTTTAGGAACCCCTTGGTAAACTCTGAATAAATGATTGTATACAGAAAATGTATTCATTTCATAAAGGCGCTTGGGATTGTGTGTGTGTGTGTGTGTGTGTGTGTGTGTGTGTGCATGTGTGACATGCAGAGATTTGCCATAATCTTGATAATAGTCATGTCACTCCTGGTCTTGCTGTTCCTTAGGGAGACTGTCAGGAGTGCTGGAAGCTAGGCCCAGGAGCTGCAGTGCCAGCCTCAGAAGCCTTGTGAGGCCAGGGATCCCTTCCTTAGCCACATTGTATCTCAGAGTCCTTATTTGAAGAATGGGGTGAAAGCCACTTACTTCTTGTTGATCTCTGGTGGCTTTAACAAGTGACCACTAACATGCCTTCAAAGCACTCAGCTTTGTTAATCCTATAGTTCTAAGATAGAAGTCTTGTAGTCAAAATGCCGGAAGGGCAGTGCTCCTTATGGAGGCTCTGGGGAGGGCTGCTTCTCTGTGTTTCCACCTTTCTGAGGCTGTTTGCCTTGCTTGGCTGGTGGGTCGTTGCACCATCTTCAAAGTCAGCGTTGTATACCTTTGAATTTCTTTCATTCCAACCTTTTCGACTTCCTTTCTGTAAGGACCCTGGTTGAGTCTACTTGAATAATCCCTGCTGATTTCCCCATCTCAAGGTCCTTAATCATACTGACAAAGTCCATTTGGCCGTGTAATTTGATATATGCTCCTATTTTGGGAATTAGGATGTGGTCATCTTGGGTGGGGGTGGGTTATCCTATCTACAGCAACTCAGAGAGCTGTTAAGTACTTTATCTGAGCTAATGCTTATAAAGTGCTTTGCACAGTACCTAACACACAGTCAACCACCTATATTGCTGATTATGTTACCGGGGCTGAGCAGTACCACTAAGTTTATCTTTCTTCATAATGCACATGTTCTAACAACATTTTAATACATTTACATATTTATTATCAGGAACTACCATTTCTTGAGCTTTTCCATTTATCGGTCACTGCTGCATGATCCCCACTTTGAAAAGCGGCATCCAGACTTTAGAGAAGTTGAATAAATCCTAGGAGGTTTTATAGCTAATGAGAACTAAGGTCTTTTTCTTGCTGACACCCTCAAGTTTGGCCTCCTTCCTACTTACTCTTGGTTTTATTACTTCCCTAGACCTCAGCTGGTTTCCCACAGCATTTTAGAGTGAAGTAGTCCCATGCAGACTCATGCCTTGGGAGGCAGGAGGAACTTCCCTACCTACCATCTGTCTTCCTCTTGTGCAACTACAATCAGTGTTGGGGGCTAGGTTCCACTGGGGTTTGCCTCATCAGACGGACAACATGGCAGTGCAGTGCTTGGGGCTGCTGCTCCTAGCCTGCATGGTGCCAGCCATTTAGGTGACCCTTATCTGCTCTTGGCCAGAAAATTAGTCTTTAGCCTTTTTCCTTAGCTCTCAGAAGAAAGAACTTCAGTAACTATTGTTATCACACTGTTTATACTTTATTTCAAACTTTTAATGATTATTTATTTGTTTGTTTGTTTGTTTATTTGAGACAGGGTCTCACTATGTAGCCCCAGCTGGCCTGGAACGTCACTGTGTAGACCAGGCTAGCCTCAAGCTCATGGAGAATCACTGGCCTTTTGCCTCCTTAGTGCTGGGGTTTTAATGATTTTTTTTTTTCCTTAATTTCCTAAGATGAACTAGAATCTTCTGCCCTGAAGGCAAAGTTGCCATATCAGTGCCTTGTATGTAGAACTTTCCCAGTAAATGTAGTCTTGCTAATGTAAATTAGTACTTAACAAAAATATAAAATTACAATTTAACAAATGTAAAAAGTTGCTGAAATAACATTTGGAGGTAAAGAAGCACAGGTAGCAGTTTAGGTACTGGCGGTTCACTTTCTAGTCTTTCTCCAAGGTAGTGTTGGCTCTTGTTTCTGTTCTCTGCTAAATAAGAATTTCTTAACGAGTGACTTCATGGTCCCATGTAAACACCTTGAGCTCAGGTTTTTTTTTCTTCGTCTAAATCTTTGTGGGCTTTTTTTTTTTTTTTGCAATTTCAGTGTCTCAGGAGCTGATGAATAGAAGATTTATAGACACACATTTATGAATTCATATGCTTTTTTCTATGTGGGTATCTTTTTTAAAAAATTGAAAGTTTTTTTTTGGTGAAGTTCATACATGAGTACAATGTGTTATTTTTTAAAAAATATTTTATTCTTTTTATTTTATGTGTCTGAGTGCATTGCCTGCATGCATGTGAGTGCACCTGTGTCGTGCAAGGCCATGGAGGTCAGAAGAGGGCTTCGGATTCCCCTGGAACTGGAGTTAAGGACAGTTTGTAGCCACCATGTGGGTGCTGGGATTTGAACCTGGGTCCTCTGCAAGAGCAGTCAGTGCTCTTAACCACTGAGCCATCTCTCCAGCACTGAGTGTTTTCATCCTATCTACCCTCCTTCCTCTAACTCCTCCCATGTCAGTTCCTCATCCCCCTCTGCCCTCCTTCCTCCAACTCCTCCCATGTCAGTTCCTCATCCCCCTCTGCCCTCCTTCCTCCAACTCCTCCCATGTCAGTTCCTCATCCCCCTCTGCCCTCCTTCCTCCAACTCCTCCCATGTCAGTTCCTCATCCCCCTCTGCCCTCCTTCCTCCAACTCCTCCCATGTCAGTTCCTCATCCCCCTCTGCCCTCCTTCCTCCAACTCCTCCCATGTCAGTTCCTCATCCCCCTCTGCCCTCCTTCCTCCAACTCCTCCCATGTCAGTTCCTCATCCCCCTCTGCCCTCCTTCCTCCAACTCCTCCCATGTCAGTTCCTCATCCCCCTCTGCCCTCCTTCCTCCAACTCTTCCCATGTCAGTTCCTCATCCCCCTCTCAAATTCATGTCTTCTTTTATAGGACTTTCTTACACAACTTTACATTTTTATTAGATTTTTCTTTTTTTAGAGCAGTTTTAGGATCACTACCAATTGAGCAGAAGCAGAGTTGAGTAACCGAAGACTTCCACATTTTGGTAGTTATGAATAAAGCTTCTATAAGCATAAATATAGAGATTCCCATATGTCTTTTGCCCTATATTTTGATACTTATGAATAAAGCTTCTATAAGCACCGATGTATAGAGAGTCCCCATATTCCTTTTGCCCTATACATGCATAGGTGCCTCTTTCATGAACACCCCTCACTGTGTAATTGATAAGCTTGCATTGACACATCTAGACTTTATGCTTAGTTACTTGCGAATGTTAGAAATGATGAACACTCATGGGCATTTCTCCCATCAAAGGATGAGAGTTTCTATTGCTTTTCTTCTTGTTCAGCAGTTGCTGTTACCTATGCTTTAGGTTTAGCTGTTGCAGTGGGTGTACAGTTTTGGCTTGTTGTGTCGTGTACCACCTCTTCCTTAGTTCACTTTGTTTGGGATCATTGTGAGCAAATTATAGAAACATTTGCAAGTCCCTTAAGATCTATATTAGTTACTTTCTATTGCTGTGATAAAAACACTGACTAAAAACAGCTTGGAAAGTTCCTTGAGGCAGGAACTCAGGGCAGGAACCTGGAGGCAGGAGCTAAAGCACAGACCATGGAGGTATGCTGCTTACTGGCTTGCTCCTCTAGCCAACGCTCACACAGGGGTGGTACCACCCACAGTGGGCTGGGCCCTCCCACATCACTCAACAATCAAAAAAATGTTCCATAGGTCAATTCGAAAGGGGAAATTCCTCAGTTGAAGTTCCCTCTATCCAGGTGTGCCACGTTGACAACTGAAGCTTTCCAGTACAAGACCTATTAAGTTTTTGATGGTTAAGTCAATATTTTGTTAGCAGACATGGGAAAATAGTCCAGTTTTGATGATACCTTGTCAGTACCAGTTTTAAAAAACTGTCACAGATGTTTTTCAGATATATATTGCTACCTCAATACTTCAATTTGTTTCTTTTTTTTTAAAATTTGCTTTGACACCTTTAACAGTTGTCTACTGAGAAAGACATCATGTTTGTTTTAAAGGTTGGGGCTAATACCTTGTAAACATGAATGTTTTTCAGGTCCCAAACCACTTGTATATCTTCAGCATGGCCTTCTGGCAGATTCTAGTAATTGGGTCACAAACCTTGCCAACAGCAGCCTGGGCTTCATTCTGGCTGATGCTGGTTTTGATGTGTGGATGGGGAACAGCAGGGGAAACACCTGGTCTCGGAAACACAAGACTCTCTCCATAGACCAAGATGAGTTCTGGGCTTTCAGGTATGTTGCAATCAATTAACATGTCGGTCTCTTTCCTTAGCATCCTTAAGGCCAGCACATGAGAATTTAACCAAAGAGGCAAATTCAGAAATAATTTTGAAATTGTATGAAAGGGAAGACTGATATCTTTTGAAAAGCTGTAAACCTTTTCAAGAATTTAATAACTAGAGTGAAAGTAAGTTTAAGTAGATGATTACATAAAGGATTAGAGTCAGTTAGGAATTCTTGTTATTTTAGCATTCCTGGTGTTGTGGGAGCTCCTAGGTAAGTATATGGCAATCTTCTTCTACCATCCATAACACACATACTCTGATGTTTTTCTTCTTTCCAGAAATAATCTTCTCCCTATTTCCTCGTCCTCCTCCTCTTCCTCCTCCTCTCTCTGTATATCTGTTTTCTCTCTGTCTCTCTCTGTCTCTCTCTCTCTGTCTCTCTCTCTCTGTCTC